TACTTATTTGCCTCATTAAAATGCAAATCAACTTATAACGTTTTTGACATGCGTTTTTCTGGATTTTGTTGTTGTTATTCTGTCTCTCACTGTTCAAATAAACCTACCATTCAAATTATAGACTGATCATTTCTTTGTCAGTGGGCAAACGTACAAAATCAGCAGGGGATCAATACTTTTTTTTCTTCACTGTACATGGAGGTGAAAATGAAACAATGACAGCGAACAGAAAACACGTCACGCCGGCGCTGTGGGATCCGGTGCGGGGCGCTGACATCTCCTCGTTGGCGGAGCCTCGGGTTCCGGGGCGCTCGATCGCTCGCTCACGGCGGTCCCGGCCCCGGTCGCCATTCAGGGCCCTTGCGACCGGAGCTAAAATCCCGCAGCTTTTTATTACCACGGTCTTATATTTTTTATTCATTTGAGTAACGTGATGATGCTGATCCCCAAATTACTTGTGCTGAGCCAGCCGCAATTGGGTGTGCGGAGAGTGGTGCGCCAGTGGTCTGGGTCACTTGCGCGCCAGTGACGCATCTCTCCTCGCGGACTGCAGCACGGCAACCGATGCACAGCTGCGCACAATTGGAGCTACGCGCTGCACCGTTACGAGGCTTCCAGTTTTTGCTTGAAAATCTTTGTTCTAAAATGTTCCCCAAATGTTATCCAGATTGTGCTATCGGCATCACCTGATGAGACGATGAATCCGTTCTCAAAGCTCTATTTGATTCGATGAACATCTCTCGCTGTGTCAAAGGTGACCGGGCGTGATGCTGGCCACCCGCCCCCTCGTGTGCCGTGCCGGCCTCTGTCAGTGCTCGCTAACAGCACTTGCCAAACAATCTGTTGATGCTATACGGGGGGGTTTTGTTGCTCGGTTGATGGTTGGGGTTAAGCCAGGAGCATGTAACCTCCCTCGAGTGGGCTTCTTGGTGGTGGTGGTATTGGGACGATCACCACTTGACCACGTGTCGCTCATGTGACGTCTCCAAACAAACAAACTTCCAGAGCTGGAGAGTTTGGTGTGGACCTGAGGTCGCATAGGTGGCTCTTATTCCGCCGACGTGAAAGGAGCAACTGAATCTAGAGTCATTCACAACCGGCTCGTTCATCATCCTCATCATTACCATCAAGAATCATTGTCTGTCCACTGCTAGCTGAAAGCCTGAAGGCATCCCGCACCGTGCTGTGATTTTAATCCATCCCCGCGTCTCTCTGCGGTTCTGTCCCCCCCGTCTCTCTCGCGGCGATGGAAAGGCAACCATCACCGCGTTCGTCGTCGCTCGGCCAAAGCCACCCGGTTCCTTATCGCGCCGCGTATTTCATCCCTATCATTATCCCCGTGTCGCCGGGCCGCGCGTGCGCTGACGCGTGACAGCTGTGCCCCGCGGCCGCCATGGGACGCCGCTAAGAGGCTGCCACCCATACGTCGCATTCCGCCACCGGCGAGCGGCCCCTGTGCCGCGATCCGAATTAGCCGGGCCGCGCTCGGCGCAAGCGGCGGAAACCGCCGGCGGCCGGGAGCATTCCCGGGCCTCGCGCCGCGGGCCCCCCTTGCATTAAATAAGTCTTGGGTCGTGTCCACTAATGAAGAGTGAGTTATGGCGCGGTCGTTACGTCGGGAGTTGGGGCGAGGGTTAAAGAGGGAGACGGAGAGAGTGTGCGTGCGCGTGGAGGGTGTGTGTGTGTGGCGTTGGCCCGGCCTGCGAGCGGGCAGTGGTGTGGCGTGGAGGACGTGTGCCCAAGGTGTGAGGAAGGAAACGGGGCCCTCCCACCGGCGCCAGGGCCCGTGAGCCCCGGCCCAGTCGCACCGCCGGCACGCTGGATGGCTACGCGCTGCGAGTGGCTGAATCTCGGGAGACCAGGATCAGGGGACTAGGCTCTTGGCCAAAGCCACTTTCCTCACCCTCCCCTAACCCCCCGCCCCCCCCCCCTCGTGCCCCTGGCCGCCTTGGTGCTGCAGTTATCTGCAGTTTGGCAGGGACCCGTGCCGTTTGACGACTCTGTTTGTACTGTGCTAGCGGCGGCGTGGCCATCGAGCGTGTACCGGGGCCACACCGACCGCACTGCGCCCCTGGTTTTTACCCAGGAGGTCCTATGAATAGACGCACGGGCCCCCCCCCCCCTCTCCCAGCGGGCTCTCACCTGGGTTAAATAAAGGAAACCGATCGGTCCGTCATCGCCGCATTCGCTCGGCCAGAGTGCTTTCCCCACTCGAACGAGCGCGTGGCAACGCTCGCCTCCCATTCACACCCCAGAGCCAGCGGTAAAAATTCCACATTCCTGTGGTGGGGGCCAACCGCCGTTGATTGTCCACAAAGTGGTACTGATTTTATACACCTCAGGGAGATGCAATGAAATTAGCTTATTGGCTTCGGGGGAGGCCTTCACGCAGCAGTGGATAGATCATGTTTGTTGATGATAATACAAATTCGCAACCTGTCAATCCACCGATACGGCGCACTGTGGAAGTTGGGGGGGGGGGGGACACTACCAGCGAATGGCTCCCTGTGGTTTCTGGATAACCACAGCTGCTGGCTGCCACGGCTCCGTGCCGAGCTGACTGCGCGCGCTACCATGCGACTGCAGGCCCCGCCATCGGCGCCAGCGGTGTCCCTTCATTTGACCCAGAGGTGTAAATCCTGGCCAGTCGCGACTCGTGGAACGATGCCTTGCTGAAAGTGGGGGGGGGGGAATAACGCAGATTAAAAAATACCACCAACTTTTGGCAAGTGTTTTCCGTGTGGGTCTCTTAGCCGTGTTGGGGGTGGGGTGGGGATGGTAGGGGGTGTCGGGACCCCCACAACACCCACGGCTCCTGCCGCTGCCTTCCGCGGGGGGCCACGGGGCCCTCCAGACCAGGGCCGTTGGTTTTTGGCGGACGGACGAGGCGGCCCGCACGGCGCTCGTGGCCGCTCGTCCCACGCACCGCCCCCCTGCAACCGTAAATCTGCCTCTGGTCACGTCACCGCAGAGCTTTCCTTCCCAGGGGTGACCTCCTGCGCCAGATTTTCCGTTTCGTGGCCAAACGCTGCGGGTTCTTCTGGGAAAATGTCTTCGCTTTATTTATAATGTCGTAAATGTTTCATTTCGACGCCGCAGAAGCTGAATCATCGGCCCTACAGTGTCACCATTACGATTCAATACGAGCCACAACCACGCGGCGCCTCGCGGACACCGCATCTCAAGACGCTGCGCAGAAACAACGGGACGTGGGCTTCCCAGGGAAGAGAGGCTTGTTTATCTGTTGCGTAACCAAAGGAGACTCAGGTCTTCAGCCTATACAAAACAAGGGGCATGTAGTCAACAGCACGGACGCCTGGGACTAGCAGAAGCAGATGCGCGACTTTCCACTGAGCGGTCGGGGGGGGGGGGGGATTGAGTTGGGACTTCGACTGGAATCCTTGGTTAATGAAGCGGAGTGTACGTGGAGTGGTTTATAGTTGGGGTATGTTGGTTGTTGGTGGAGGTGTTGGTGGGGAGCAGTAGCGTAGCGGGTTAGCATGTGGCGCTATGAGCCCAGTGACCTGAGTTGGATTACCGCTCACGTCCGCCAACACCAGTGACGATCTTGGGCCTCCCCCACGTGGACTCGGCTTCAAATGAGTACCTGGTGCGGCGTGTAAACGTCGCTGCTTTGGAGACAAAGGCAGCCGGGTGTGGTGCTGGCCACCCACCTTCTCGTGTGCCGTGCCGGCCTTCAAAGGTGCTCGCAAACAGCACTTGCCGCAACAGTCTGTTAATGCTATACGGGCGATGTTTGTTGCTCGGATGATGGTTGTAGTTAAGCCAGGGGCATGTAACCTCCCTGGAGTGGGCTTCGTGGTGGTGGTGGTATTGGGACGATCACCGCTCGACCACAATTCGTGTCGCCCATGAGACATTTCCAAATAAACTCCCAGAGCTGGAGAGTTTGGTGTGACGAGGGGGTCTGGTGGCTCTCATTCTGCCGACGTGAACAGAGCGACATTGACAGATGGCTCGTTCATCATCCTCATCATTACCATCAAGAATTATTGTCTGTCCACTGCTGGCTGAAAGCCTGACCACACCATCACCATCCCTCACGTGTCCTGCATTGCCACAATCCGCCTGTTCCCTCCTTTGGCTGCAATTCCACCGCCAGTCTCGCTCATTGGCGATCGTTCAGGCTATCGAGGTGACCTCCCTGAGCCCTCTTTATTTCCTTGACGTCGCCGCTTGGGAGACAAAGGTGACCGGGCGTGATGCTGGCCACCCGCCCCCTCGTGCGCCGTGCCGGCCTCTGTCAGTGCTCGCTAACAGCACTTGCCACAGCAATCTGTTGATGCTATACGGGGGGGTTTTGTTGCTCGGTTGATGGTTGGGGTTAAGCCAGGAGCATGTAACCTCCCTCGAGTGGGCTTCTTGGTGGTGGTGGTGGTGGTATTGGAACGATCACCACTTGACCACGTGTCGCCCATGTGACGTCTCCAAACAAACTCCCAGAGCTGGAGAGTTTGGTGTGGACCTGAGGTCGCATAGGTGGCTCTTATTCCGCCGACGTGAAAGGAGCAACTGAATCTAGAGTCATTCACAACCGGCTCGTTCATCATCCTCATCATTACCATCAAGAATTATTGTCTGTCCACTGCTGGCTAAAAGCCTGACCACACCATCACCATCCCTCACGTGTCCTGCATTGCCACAATCCGCCTGTTCCCTCCTTTGGCTGCAATTCCACCGCCAGTCTCGCTCATTGGCGATCGTTCGGGCTATCGAGGTGACCTCCCTGAGCCCTCTTTATTTCCTTGACGTCAGCGTGCCGCCCTAACTGGCGCGCATTGGCTCCGGTTTTTACTCTCTCGTGCACGCGCTCCCCCCGTCTCTCTTCCGTCTCTCGGTGTCATTCCAATCGCGCGCCTCTCCGCGCTTCTTTCTCCTCCGCGCTTTTTCTCTGCGCCTCTCCGTGCACACCCCTGAACCTCCGTGCGTTTTCCTGGGTCTCTCCGAGCGTCCGCACGCGTCCGGTCGCTCGGGTCGGCGGCCGGCGCTCCCGCGAGCGGAGGTGGCCGATTGCCATAACCGGGCAGGGAGGGCGCCACCTGCCCGCCCGCCCGACCGCTGCTCCACCGCGCGTGCTTTATTTATACATTGCCTTTGAAGCGGCCGTGCGTGCGGTCCGAGAGATGGCAGAGCGGCGCGATCGTGCAGCCAGGGGTCGTAAATGTCCACTTAATCCCCCGCGGCGTGGCCGCCGGCGTGCGCGTAATAATAATAAATCATTAGCATTCACGGCCCTCTCCTTGATCAATCCTGCTGGATGAAGCCCTCCCCGTGCCGTCGTTTGTTTGTCCATACTTCACCCCCACGGCGGCCATATTTGGTAAAGGTGAGGGAAGGGCTACCGAGGATCAGTTCAGATGTCACTCGCCTCCAATGTTAGCCTTGGCCTGTGATCCAGCACTGTGGGGGCAGCAGCGAAGGTTGGTGGATCATGCACAGATGCTGTGAAACTTCCTTCCCGGTGGGCATCGAGGAGGTTCCGTACCCTGGCTCGCCAGGAGAAGCCAGTGCAGCAAGTGGACGAATTTATAGTGTTGCCCTTTTGCACGTGTGGTGTTTCTACAGGTGCTCCGGTGTCTTCCCACTTGTAATAAACACTCACACAATTCCCTAAAAACGTGTGGGTGGAAAAAAATACATACGTAAATAAATAACTAACAAGAGCCCTTGGCTTCAGTGTGGCTTTTGTGGATAAATATGTAAAAAAAACTCGACTCTTGTATCGCGTTGCATCGATTTTGGGGGCTCGTCCTTTGAAAAAAAACCCGGACAAACTGAACAAACGCAAGCCAGGGAGCGATTTGTGAACCCGCCTCGAGCTTGACAGCTGCCGTTGCCTTCCACGCAGGATGGGGCCGGCCGAACGGACAGCGCTGGCCGCGTGGTTCACTTCCACATACCTTCCGCCCGTGGCCTTCACTGAGGCCGACATCATCCGGCTAGGCCTGCCCTTCGGCCAGGTCACAAACTACATTCTCATGAGGTCCAAAAACCAGGTGAGGGCGCGTTGGTCAGGGGGGCGATGATAGCCCCGCGCTATGAAAATGGCGCGAGTACCAAAACCCGCGAGCCATTTGGTTTGAGCGTGCTGGGGTCCTTTACAAACACGCGGCTACAAACGGAGCGGCTTGCTCCCGTCAGACTCCTCCGCTGCCGCACGGCGAGTTTACGCTGCCGCACGAGCGATGGTTTACCCTTTTTCCACGTTCTCAAGTTTGCAAAATATTTGCATTGTGGATTGGCTTGTCGGTCAAAGTGATTCAGGTATGTGACCTTCTAACCGGCCTGGAATATATTTGGCTGTTACTAAAAATGTCATGGCTTTTCATTCCCTTTAAAGAGCCACCGGGGGCAGTTGGTTCTATCTGCCCGCTGACTTTTGACCGTTCCATTTCTGCCGGTTTGCTACTTTGGTGTCTGTCTCATTGTGCCCCATACGCCCTCGTCAAAATGCCTGCCCGAACGATGAATGAAATCTCTCAGCTTGTGCCGTTATGCCGGTGTTCTTCATTTGACCAACACATGACACGTTAAGGCCGACCTGGGTTATGACGTGAAGACATTTTCATTACACGCAATATATATATGTAAACAAAAAGATGTTCATCTAACAAATAGAGACCAAATTAAACAAACATCATTATTACGTAACGCCGTCCAACCGATGTTGCGACCTTCCTTCTGACTTGCGTGCGTGTGTGTGGGCGACGCTGTCTGTGCAGCCGCGTCACCGTTATGATTCATGCCGAGAAATCTGCTGCTCAGTTCATATTTGAAATAATCACGCTCTCTCTCTCTCTCGCTCACTCTGCCTTTTGGCTGCATCCCCAGTTCCTTAAGCAGAAGCGGCAGCACAGCCCCCACCTCTCCACACCCCCCCCCCCGCTCCCCCGAACTCCTCGCACACGCGCACCGACATGTGGGACACACAGACACTGCCAGGAGCAAACACTTTTGATCGATAAGGTGGCAGCTGAGTGAAAGTAAAAACTTTCGCTGCTGTCAAAAAAGTGGGGCTTCTGATAGCATCTCAAGGTCGTTTTGCCCGGGAATACAAACGGCAAAGCACCGGCGACCGTCACGACACCGCTGCGCGGCCATCTTCATCACGTGCGCCGCGGCAGCACGTGACATCCCATTACATGTTTTTTCCCCCTTCCTTTTTTGCTTGCTTGCGCGAGCTCAAAACAATCAACACGTGCCACGGCGGGCAGCGACCGCTGTGGGGGCGAGGCAATGTCAAATGTGCCTTTTGTTACCAGGCGCGTTCAAATCGCCACGCTGCCGGTGAATAGAAAAACGCTCGCCTGTTCGCTTTTTCCCTCGCGCTGCTCCGCTCACTTGCCCGTTCGCTCACTCGCCCGCTCGCTCGCGTCGTCACCCGTTCACTCGCTCACCCGCTCATTCACCACACTGCAGGTCAGCTCATTTTTTCTTTTCCGCTTCTTCCCTCGCACCGCTCCACTTTTGCATTTCCCTCCATCCCATCATCATCATCGTTTATTTGCTCCCAAGCTCTTACTATAATAACCCTGCTCAGTTGTATGCCTGTATGTTCTACTTTCGCACGTACTTAGCCAACCGTGCCAATCGGATTCGTGACTCGCGTTACACCCTCGCATAGCACTGCGCCACCGCTCCTGTTCGTCGCTGGCCGCTTGGCGTTTTGAGCCGACGCATCCGCGAGCGTGGTAGAAAAAACAGCGGTAGCCAGCGCGGCGTGCGCGCTCTGCTCCCGGCGGCTCGCAGGCTTTCCTGGAGATGGCGAGGCCCGAGGCGGCGCGGGCGCTGGTGAGGACGTACGCGGCGCACCCCCCACTCCTGCAGGAGCAGCCGGTCGCCGTGCAGATGTCCAGCTCTTACCAGCGCCTCGTGCTCAAGGTGCCCGTCCCTCCCGTCGCGGTGGGGCCCCGGAACCCAGGGGTCCCCTCGTGGTGACCCCCCACGCCCCCCCTCCCCCACGCCATCGCGGCGATCCTCCGGCCCGGGAGGTCGTGCCCGGCCCCGGCGACGCAGCTGCTGATGTCGGCCAAACGTGACGTTTGGTGGGGTCTAGGGTCGTCAGGTTCGCGTGCTGGCGGAGGAGGTCGGCCGACCCGGAGATCCGGGTCGCGGCGCAGACTCGCAGGGGTCGGCAAACTTAGCGGATCGCTGTCCTGCGTGAGTGGACGTGATGAGTTTCAGCCGAACGGTCGGGAACGACGCTGTGCCAGGATTAACGTCGGCACCATCCATCTCGCCTTACTTGTCATATATTATAGGGGCATAGTCGAAGTGAATTTCCTGCTCAAATGAGCAGAATATGGTGGAAATTCCACATTCCCATGGCAGGGGCGAGTCTATCAACAGGACAACCACTGATGACTTCCCTACAAGGTGGTGCCTATTTTATCGTACCCAGAGGGATGATGAGGGGCTGACTGAAACCCCCAACCGGGATGTGAACTTGCAACCTTCCAATTGCGAGAGGCTCGCTCTAACCGCTGAGTCACCAACCGTTATACGGTGCAGTAACATAGCGTTAGTATGGATAGCCAATACCTTGCACGCTAGTGGTAGTGCCTCACGCTGGTAATCCAAGGCAGCCCTAGGAACGATCCTGAAAATATTGATTGAGAATTGAGTGCCTGGTGTACGTTGCGCGGTGCCTTCCCGCTTCCCTCTAACCCATGCCCATACCCCGTGCCCTCTGCCCTCTGCCCCATGCCGCGTGCGTGCGATGTCCTCCGCCGGTAGAAACCGGGACGCCCTGTGGACGAGGTGCTGATGGAGGAGACGGGGGCACTCGGCCAGAGCTCACGGCGGCACCGCCCAGTACGGACACATTCCTCCGCGCTGGCACTCACCAGCACCACGACACTCATCATCATACATGATTGACATCGCCATTGCCATCATCTATCCACTGCTGAATGAAGGATCCTCTCAAAGCTGCTCATCATCTCTCGCGGTCCCTACGATTCAACAAATCATCGAGCACCCGCGCACACGAGCCGATTCCTCACTCAACCTCCGTTGGTTTTCCAACAGCACTCCAATCGGCTCTTTGTCAGCCTCTTTCTTCCGTCATTTTTCCACCTTTAATGACTGCACTGGTTTAGGTAAAGGCGCAGCCCTGCAGTTGCTCGCATCGCGGCACTGCTCAAGGAAGGGCCTCCAACTACAAGGGGACCCTCGAGAGACCCCCCTCTAGTGGTGGGCCCAGTCACCAGATGCACTGAAAACAGTGACGTCGCAATAGAGGTGTGGCGAGAGCAGGTCCGAGTGCTTTGAAAAACCACAACCGACTGCTACAGTCGAGATGCCGGTCGCTTTTTCGGTCGCTGCTGATCGCTGCTGGACGCTGCCGGGTGCCGAGTCGCCGCTCATAGCCAGCGCCCGCTTGTTGCAACTCCGCAGGAGCCGAGTGCGGTCGCGCAGTCCCCTGTCCCGCGACCGCGAGGTCTCCCACGGCCAACGCGGCGCGCAGCGATCAGCCCGGCGCCGTGGAAACGGAGCCGGTCGCCCTTTGCGCCGTGAGAGCCTCTCCAGCTCGTCTCCTGGACCCTCCACCCCCCTCTCCTCGCCGCAAGTCCCAGAGTCCTCCGCTCGAGAACCCCTCGCAGAGCGGGAACAGGCCGACGAGCCCGCGCGAGCACGAGGCCACGATGGACGACGGCGAGGCGGCGATGAGGGACGGCGAGAAGACGGGGGGGGAGCGAGACGACGAGGGAGAACGGGGCGAGGCCGCGCCCTGCGCCGAGCGAGCTGGAGGATCTCGCGCAAGGAGCGTGGCGACGCGACCCCACCGAGCGGCGAGGGGATGGAGCGGGCGAGACGCGGGGGCGGCGGCACGACAGAGGAGCCGAGCGGGCTTCACGCGCTCCGCGATCGCGATGAGGAGCAGGACTTCTTCCTGGGCGACGTCGGGTTCGTCACCGTGGACGAGGTTGGAGCCGAAGAGGAGATGGGGGGAGGAGGAGAAGGGCTCCGCTCACCTTGTCGTCGGCGAGGGATCGGGCGGCGGGGAGGAGGCGGGGGCCGACGAGGTCGCCGCCGCCGCCGCCGCCGCGGCGTCTGTGGCGGCGACGCTCGTGGATGAGCGGGCACCCCCGGGCGGTGGCGATCGACCGTCGTCGGGTGACGAGGCCGCAAATCTCCCGGACGTCGCCCCCCGCGGCGGAAGCCGACGCGGCGGACGCCGAGGAGACGGTGCCCGAGCCGGTCCCGGCCGCCAACGGGGAAGGCCGCTTGGAGGGGACGGCCGACGCGGACGCGGAAGCCCCGGCCCTCCCCCGAGAGCCTCGCGGCTCGCGGGACGAACCCGCGTCCTTTCCCGCGGAGCGGCAGGTCGGAACCCGACGGCGACGTACAGGACGCCGAGGGACCACGGCCCGGGGTGGTGATGGAGGGGGACGGGGGGGCAGGCGTCGGTGACAACAGTCGCGACGGGTGGCCCGGAGCTGTGAAGCCACGCGGGCCAACCCCTCGCTCCAGGTGCGTGGCAACTCCTGATTCATAAGTGCACACGGCATTGCCCGGATTTGGGGTCGTGACTTTATTCAAGAATCAATAAATATTTGCGTGGTACGTTCGTACCGCCTTGACCCTTACCTTCACGAGTAATTTGCACAGTTCCGAATTCTTCAATTAAGAGGCGCGTGTGCGCACGAGCCGGGGAGAGAGACGTCCATCGCGGAGATGGAGCGACGAGATCGGCTCGCGCGTGCGACGGCTTTGGGGGGGGGGGTTGGGGGGCGGCTTGGTTAGAACGTGACCCCCCTCGAACGAAGTGTGCGGTGTCGATTTTTTTTAAATCGCTGCATCCAATGGTTTGCGCGCCCGGGAGGCAATCGAGTCAGCGTGGCCACAAGTCATCTCCATCTCGCGTCTCCCATCGTCTCGAGTCACATCCCTCTCGTGTTTTACGGCACCGGGCTTCTCCCTCCGGTGGAGGCGGCGGCATCTGCCACGCGTCCGGGGGGCTGTCCGGCCGCAGCGGCGAGCGTGATCTAAATAGAAATCTGTAAGCTATCGAGGGGCACGTGCGGCGATAGAATCTGCCGCGGTGGGGGGGGGGTGGTTTTGGTGATGATTTGTCAGTGTTGTTTCTGACGGGTCGCGTCGCTCCCGCTGTGGAGGTGTCTCGGAGTCACGCGCCGGCTCCTCCCTCTTGGCAAACGAGACTCCTACACAATAGAAACATCACTCTTGACCATACTTCACCACTCTGCACAGGCGCTTCATACGGTTTTTTATTTCTTTAGTCGTTTCTGTTTCTTCGTGTCGGGCGACGCGTGCTGGTAGTTTTTACGTCACAATTCTTGTCGTCAACCCCTCCACCGCCCCGACGAGAATGTCCGGTTAAACACAGACATTATTATTGTTGTTGTTTGTACCGTGACGATGCTTTCATCAAACTCTGACCGATAGAGCTCCAGCTGCTCACGGGCGGCTTTGGACTTCCCCTCCCCCACCGAGTTCAACGCCAACGTGCGACGTTTTAAATCTGGTCAGGTGGTGGAGGGTTAATGACAAGACACTGGCATAAAGCCCCCGCCACGTGTGACCTAACCCAAAGACAAATATGGAACCCCGTGGTGCTAGCGACAAAAGCACGTTTTTCAACTTTTATTTTATTTATCTCATCCGCGGCTCGATTCTGCCCCCTGCTGGTCGCGTTCAACCTGGTTTCATAAACCAGCTGCCCTTGAATTGCTTCCCATTTGTAGCAACGTCAACGTTAACAGCCCCCTTGTCAATCCACTGCTGGACTATTACCTCCCATCGGGGTTGCTGGACCGTACGTCACCAAAGCTGGTGAGTGCGGTGGGTTGTTGAAGCGCCGATTCGGATGTCGCTTGCCGTGGCCTGGAACGTCAACTCGGGTCGCCAGGTTTGTGGCGCAGTGCGCTAACCACAGTTTCCGCCACCTCCCCCCTCCCTCTATTGCCGTTTGGAGTAACAATCTTAGGTGTGATTTTTGTGTCAGGCTTACAAGGCCCCTAGAAATGCCTGTACGTGTTTTACTATCTGGCAAATCATCTCGATGTCGGTGAATTCTAAACATAACGCATCCAAAAAACCCATGAATCTGCTCAACACGACGGCGATGTTGATGGTGACCAGCGGTGGCGCTAGGCATACAAACGCCAACCAAGTTCAAGCTTAGGGCCCCACGCAGCTGAAGGGGCCCCAGATTCATGAAAAAAAATATTGTTGAACCAAATATCAACATTCAAACCCTAATAACCTTAACAATGGGAAGTATATCTCAACATTGTCCTCATTCTTCTTCTCTCATCCCACGTGACATCTCTTTCTCTCGTCCGTACGTCTTCTGTCATCTCGCTAGGCTCTTAGAAATTGAAAGGGGGGAACCCCAAAAATAAATTATGCTTGGGCCCCCCCATTGGGCCGGCCACGACCACTAACGATGGCACCGGAGCCCGAGGCCTCGACGTGGGCGAGCCGTGCGACCATGTCGTGCGTCACGCGCGAGTTGGTGTCAGGGGTGCCACAGCGGCGAGATGTTAACTACCTCGCCTGGTGTACATGAGGGTCGTGGGTTCGATCCCGGATCCCGACGCCTGTATATTTTGAGTTTGCGTGTCTCTCTCCCTGTGGTCGCGTGGATATTTCTCCGTGTCCCCCGGTTTTTTTCCCTCCACATGTAGACAACAACAAGCGTTTAGATTTTTTTTTGCTACTGCTATACATTTGCACATAGTAAGCCACTTTGTTGAGCTAATCGTTAGTGGCCCGGTCGCTTCTGAAAAAGAGCTATGTAGCTCAGTGGGCCTTACCTAATAAATAAATAAAACAGTTTAGTCAACATCGTCCGTGCCTCTCGCTCCTCCGCAGAAATCCTCAGCGACCTGAAGAGATGCACGGGGTCCCCTGCGTGCGTCTCCGTGTCGGCGGCCGGCGAGGAATCGCTCAGTCCTCCTATCGGCAAGTCCACCACTGCACCACGTTCTCACTTGAGGCTGTGTCGACCTAGTCGATGTCCCCGGGACAGGGGCAGATACCACTTGCCCCACCGATGTTGACTATGGCCAGGAATCACACTCCGATTGCATCGTAGCGACACACACACACAAGTATAGCCTGCTTAGACTATTGGTGAGTGCTGATAGTGAGCACCTATTTAGGCTAATGTGGCAGACGAATGGGTGGTGTAGCCAGAACCATATTTGGCCATCTTTGTCTGCGGCAGTGCTGATATATTTACACATTGTACTACGTACTCTTTTATAGCTAAGTCGGCCGAGAACCGATTCAGATACTTGCCACTGATGTTGCTGTGAACGGCAAGTGAGCTCTGGTCTCTGGGTTTTGTAGTGCACTAACCACGACACACACACACACACGCGCACTGCAAATAGTAAAAATTAATCGTTAGCTTTAAAGGTTGTGAGTAATGTTTTGTGTGCAATTGAGACTCCAGGACAAAGTGAAATGGGGGTCACAAAGGGGGATAGCACTGTCGGGGGAGAGGGGGAGGCGGGGGGTACACCCATAGCTGCACATGCTGGAAGAATCTTCAAGGGATGAATATTGAATTCAGTTCCTGGAGAAGCTCCCAGCAACAATGGCGTGCCACGACCCGATAGCACATCGGAGCTCCGTGCCACGGCGCGACCGTGAGAGTGCACACGGCCGCAATCCGCTCATGGCCGACCGCGCGACCGCCCGCTCGTCGGCCTGCCGTCGGGAGCGATCTCGCTCACGAGTCGGGAGGTGGGGTGGTGCCAGCCAGGTCCCGAGAGGGGAGCGCGTGGGTCATGGTGGGGGCCTTCTCGGCCCGGGCGCCTTTGATGCATGGTGCCGCTAAAAGGGCCCCAGGGCTCGCGGGGTTACGAGGTGGTCAACGACTGAAGGGGTCTGCCGGGGGAGGGAATGCCTGCCCTGAGTGCGCCACTACCGGCGGGCGCGCGGAACCCCGCGCGGCACGCGGCCGGGGCTAATTGAGAGGCTGCTCTGTTGGGACGACAGTTGTCCCAGCAACGCCTCCCGCTCTTCCGTTCGTGCATCCGAAACCTTGGTCGAATGCGGCGTCATGAGCGCGTGGCCCCGACGTTGTTTAGCGCGGCGGGTCCCGCTGGACCGGCGCAGGTTAGTGGGGCCGCGCCACCTTCAAAACGCGGCACGCGCTTCCCCCCCCCACCCCCCACCCCCCTCCGTCACGGCCGCGAAACTTTCAAACAAACGCGTGGAGCGCCGCGTTTGAAGTTGGCTCTTCGTCGTTTTTTTTTCCCCCTCCCCAAATGTTACCCCGATTGCGCGATCGGCTTTGCGCAAGCCTCTGTGTTAGTGAAGGACACGCGGAAGTGGATGCAACAAAACTACATCTGACATCCCTGCAATTGAACTGGTTCACACAGGGGTTGCTGAAGTGGAGAGTGCGTGGAGTAGAGAAGAGAGGGGAAAAGGTTGGAGAGTGCGTGGAGTAGAGTGAGGCGAGAGGCAGACAGGGGCAAGTCCACAGAGGATCTTAAAGATGGTGAGCACTGCGATCTTAAATGTGATTGGGGATCGGCCTTGGAGCCGCTGTGGCCATCAGAGGGACCGTCGTGGTGCCCGTTTACGGCGCCGCTCTGAGAGACGTTCCGCGCGGTGAAGCTTCGCGTGGGCCGCCACCGGCCGCCGGCGCACGGCACGCCGGGCGAGCGCCCTTCACGCTGCCGTTCCTCCTGCAGGCGTGAACTTCGTGGTGCCGCGCACGGGGTTCTACTGCCTCCTGTGCCGCCTGTTCTACGTGTGCGAGAGCTCGGCGCGGGAGAGCCACTGCCGGAGTCCCACGCACTACCGCAACGTGGAGGCGAGGTGACGGGGACCGCGATCCGTTTCCACGGCTGCCCCACCCCCCGGAGCACGGAACCCCTTGCCCCCGCAGGACGTTACCGCGAGGGTTGCCCTGGTGATGCTGTTGTAGGGTGCTCTCCCGGGGTCGTGACGTCTGTTCTGCTCGGCGCGCACGGACAAAATCCGAGGATGTCATCGCTGCCAGTTTTCCCTCTCCCTGTTCAAGTCCAGGCTCAGGATCTTGCACCCTTGCCTCTGCCCGTGACCGATTGCCTCGAGAGAATATCCCCACTGTTTCGAGACAGCGTCATAAGGCGCAGTCGCAATTTGAGTGCTTCATTCAAAATGTAATTGTTTTAAGATGGAAGTGAAAAATCTGATTTGATTATGGCTTTCTCTGCAGTAATAAGAGACTGCACAAGAGTAGTCTCCTGTGAGACTACGTTCAGAGTATTTGGCTCTTATAGATTTTCACATAAGCCACTTTGTTGAGCTATCATTTGTGGCCAGGTCGCTTCTGAAAAAGATATATATAATCCATTGGGCCTGACCTGGTAAAATAAAATTGTTTAGTTTAAATATTCTAGGCTCTAAACCGTCAACTCGCTGGACTTGAGAGCCCGGTATAATTACAGCAGCCAAACCTCCAATTCCAACCCAGGATATCCAGCGATGCCGTCTTAATGTCTCTGGCCCCTCGAGCCTCTTGAAACCCAACAGTTGTTGTTTCAAGTCGTTACAGTGTCCGCTGTTGCCTTGTGTCCATTGATCCGGCAGAGGTACCTGATCCAGAGGCTGGGGGAGCTGGGGGAGAGCGGGCTGGGGAGGCGATGGGAGCGGAGTGTGGCGAGCACGTCACCGAGGGACATCGGACGCAGCTGTGAGAAGCACCACACGCTCGCCCCCCCCCCCACAGCCGGGTGGTGCATCCTGAGGTCGCGACCCCAGGTGGACATCACATGCTGCTGACGAGGCTTCCAGAAATCCCGTGCGCTCCCCAGCAGCTCGATCTCCGACGGCCTACGTGTGACCAAATCTACCCGGACCGCGCCCGATTTCATCAGAGCTTGGAATCTAAGCAGGATTTTTTGAGCCTGGACAGTGCTCGGATGGGCGACCACCATGCATAAAACGGGTGGTGTAGGCTTTGTCATCAGACAGCAGTGTAGAAAAATCCGTTTGTACTCAACTATGATCCCCCCACTTCCAAACCCACACTGACCAGCGTGGTGAAATAAGGTCAATAACCCCCATGATGAATGCGGCAAGGCGAGTCCCCCATCCAGCAGTGGATTGGCCAGACCGTACATGTTCAACCTTTTACCTATTGTACTTTTTGACAGAAGGAAAACAAGTCTAAATGGTTGTTACAGGTTTCTTTGTTCATTTAGTTTCTTGTTGTGAATTTAGTTGATATTTGATGTAAGAACGCCAATTATTTATTTATTTGTATTTATGGGGTCGATATTTGTAAATGGGGTATTGAGACGGCAACAAAGCCGCTCTTAGGTCTTCTCAGGTACGTTGCCATCATCGCATTATGGAGCCGACTTGAATGTCACAGATTCGTCCTTGTGACGCAGGGAAAACAGAAACGGTACACTTGGGTACAGGTAAATTCCGAGTCCAATAGAATCATTGCATGCGCCGCCATCGTTACCATGGGCAGCGTGAGAATCGCCGACGTGTTCTCACGGGCAACATTTTCCCTTTGCCAAAAACCTGACAACCAACAAACTTTTTCACCCAACCCGTCAATACGTTTTTAGGCTGAAATAACAAATCCGTTTACCCACTGTAAAGACACGCCCGATACCAAAGAACATCAGAGTGGCCACGTGGGCCCATCTTTAATTCATCGCAGCGAGCACCGTCTCGAGTGCTTTTCATAAACGTGCCGAGCGGAGCGTTGTGCACATCAAGTTATTTATACGCCTGCACATTAGTTTGTTTATTTGTCTGTGCAACTTCAGACTCGCACTTCCGCAATGCCACAGGAATACCCCAGAGTGGCATGTGTAATCACACTGCATGCCGACCTGGCAAAGGAGGCTCTTTGCAGCTTATTGGGAGGTACAGTAATGTTGCAACAACGTTAACGCTCATTTCGTCTCCTTGCTCGGGTGTTTGCTGCAGTCCTTTTTCATGTTTTGTTTTATAATTTTTACGGGAAAATATTGAACTTTCAACATTGCTGTGAAAAGGTAAATATCTGTAAAATAAAACACCCTCGTTTGAAAACATTTACATCCTCGTGGATTGTCATTTAACAGTTCTTTGTCTTACGTTTTAAGTCAAGCCTTCATGAGGCCCAGATTCTTACAGCCGATTCTGTCCCAAGAATTTTGTATCTTGAAAATGCGCAGAACTCAGGGAGACAACAAAGAGGATTTCTCAAACGTATCACGTGAAACCACCAAATTGTAATTAATCAAGAGAATGTATTTTTATTGACTGCAACTTCAAAGACGTTTCGCACATCCGATTAGCTCAGTTGGCTAAGTGCGATGCAAAAGAAGTTCCAACATGCACACACAGCTGTTGGTCAAGAGTCGATTTCAAATCATCGTTTCTATGGTAGTGTAATTCACACAAATGAACCGGACACAAACTTGCCAAGAAGCATTGCGAACACTGGTAAGACGTCACGCGTCGTAAAACTTTTAGAAAAACAGATGAGAAGACAGACCCTGGCAGTGCTACTGATAATATGGACTAAGTCTTCTAAACTGTTGTAGGCACTCTGCAGTGAATTCAAATTATGCCAGACCCAGCATTCAATACCAGTTACCTACGCCTGTTTTTTAATCTCCCCTGGAAAAATCACAACCGCAACAGCAGCTACAAAGGTTATAAAATATAAAAAAATGCATCCACTATTTATCTACCCTTTTCTCAAGTACCGAGTCGAAATATGTCGACAGCAGTGGATATGCACAAAATTTGTTTTATCTGTTCAACGATTGCAAAGATTTGGTTGATATATTTTCATTGTCTCTTCGTATATTTTAACAAATGCTGTGTATGAAAATTCAGTCAAGGAGAAACTAAAAAACTGAAACATTCATTGGATTTTGCTGTTATATTTGGCATTCCAAAAATTATAGTACACAGTATGATACCAGCAATTCAACATGGCAAACGAAGGCACCGTACAAATGTAAACATAAATTTGGCAAGCTGCAAGATGAACGTTCGATCACGTGAGTGTACAGCAAAGGGAATCTGCGAGCTCGCGAGCACTGGGAGGGCTCTGTGACACGTCACCTCCGGCCTCTCCACCAACTAGTTCTTCTGATCACCTGGCTCCTGGGTGGCCACGCTGCCATCCTGCATCCCAAAGTAGGCCTTCTCCGCCATGCCAATAAACAAGCCCGTCTCCACGACCCCTGCCACACAAACACGCACAAAAATCCCCCGCATAGCATTAACATACTTTTGGGGCAATTGCTGTTAGCGAGCAACTATTAAGGCCAGTACGGCACACGATGGGGGTGGGTGGTCACCACCACGCCCGGCCACCTTTGTGTCTCAAATGGCAAGGTTTACACAGTGCAACAGGTACTCATTTGAAGCTGAGTAGACCTTGGGGAGGTCCAGAACCAGTTCAGATAATCATCACTGGTGTTGGTCACGAACGGGAATCAAACCCTGGTCGCTGAGTTTGTAGCGCAGCGTGCCAATCGCTACACTTCCTCTCCCCGCACTCACACGGTAAGCACAGCCGTGTGGAGCAACCCTAGTAAGGCCTGGGGAAAGGACTTCTTCTCAACGCACTTTTCATATATTAAATAAATAGCAACCCGAAGTGGCTATGGTGGCAGCAGCACAATTCCTTGTTGTACTTTTCTTGTACCACTGCCACATCTATACTCTCTGCTATAACCAACCCACACTGACCAGAGCGGTCAAGTATGATCATTTAACTCGCACAGCATGGGGCTGTATCTGTACAAATAACAAGAATGGGCACTTGTCCATGGGTTGAAATGTTAACAATTTTTTTTTGCGTGAGGAATGTTTGACTGAAGTTTTTTTTGTACCGTTTTGTCTCATACCTGGAATGAGCGTTATCTGCGTGTTGACCACCTGCCAGTCGTGCTTACGGTCGAACTTCCAGTCCAGGATGAAGTTCCCGTTGTCCGTGACCACCGGACCCTAGAACATTGCAGGACGTTACGACCGCTAAAATATGCCACGGCCATTTCAGAAGCGAGTCTGGCTGAGTTATAATAGTGGAGGGCAAAAAAAAAATGCGTGAATATGCATAAACGGCTAGAAAAAGCAGAGCGACACGGCGCTATACACCGCAGAACATCCATCATTCGGACAGACCAACTGTTACCATGGGCTGAGAAATAATGAATATGGAACAAAGCAAAAATTACAATAAGCGGTGAATAATGGGCACTCACAGCCTTGCTGACAGCCATGCGCAGGTCGGCGGTGCCCCCAAAGCGGGGCGGCAATGGTGCGCCCTACCGGAACGTACGCCATGGGCACCACCTCGATGGGGACGCCCTTCTTCCACTGCTGGCCCAGTTCCGACGATCGCTTCCTGCACAGAAGTCAGTGGGGCGAACGGTGCTGGAGGTCATCGCTTCCGACCAAAAAGCTTCATAACGAGGCGAGGTGCCCAGTGAGAGGCTCGTTTGCAAAGGAAGGCTTTGGCTTAAAATGTGCAGCGTGAAAATGTTACAAAGTATACATCATCGCAGTCGTGGGGCAGAACTTTTTTCATGGTTACAAAATTGTTTTTGCAATAAAAATAAAAACATGGGAAAATGTACTTCATATGGTTATATGAAAATGAAATCCATTGTCCAAGTACCAAGAAAAAATCTCAAACTCATGGAATACATTATAAATGTAAAACAGATGAGATTTCGTTCGAAGAGAAAGAGGCATTAAATCTGATGAGGATTTGCAGGGTACAGCGCTGACTTTCACCAATGCCGTTGGGGCCACTGTAAATTAGTTCCTCCTGTCAGATCACTCGGCTGTCGCAGTCAAAGCAGGCGAGCGTCAAAACGACCATGACACCCTGTGTCCTTCGAACGGGAAAACCCCGACATTCAAAGGACATCACGTTTACTTCCAAGCTTCATTTCAGCCAACTCTTAACGGGTCCACGACCCGGTAAATACTTCCGCACCCAGAATGCACCGCATCCAGTCTACCTCTTTTCATGGCTGTGGCTGCAAGTCACATCACTATTCCAATCTTAGCATAAACCCGGAAAACATTCAGCGAGACATGAAACCCCCCTTGTTTGCTTACCTATAGTCGGCAACAACGATGAAACGCTTGGCACAGCTCGCGACGATCTTCTCCTGCGTGAGGCAGCCCCTGGAATGTGGGATGAGGAGCACTTACCACACACGGCCGAGGCAGCGAGCCGCATATACAAGCCTCTCCCACGCCCCGCCATGGCGAGCGATGCCGTGCGGTGCTCATTACCCTCCTCCCTTGATGCAGGTCAGCTTGGAGTCCACTTCGTCTGCACCGTCAATGGCCACGTCCAGCTGCAGGCGACACAATAACAGCAATGGCTGCTGGTAAATACTGAGTTTTCACTCGAGCGCTACTAAATATTTCCTGCTCACATGAGAAGTGAAGTGTTGCTCATCTCCTCTTTACAGCCCTGAGCCAGTGGTCGAAATTACCCATTCGTATCGCAGGGGTGAGACTATCCACAGGACATCCGCTGTTGATGTCCGCAAAAAGTGGGATTTGTTGCCTATCGAACCAGGAAGGATGATGATGGGACATTGGCCTCATGCTCAGCGAATCGCTCGCTCAATCGCCAAGCCAGCCGGCCAGATTAGTAATGCCTCCATACTAAACCCCAGCACTGCAAGATATAGAACTCAGCTGCCAAGTCTACGAGTGGTAATATGCTCAAGACAATCCTTTTGTAATTGAACACATTACAACTGCCGATTATTTTGGCTCAATGGATACCATAGATCAAATGTGGAATGCATCTAAATACAAGAGCTGCTCAAGACACTCTACAAGGCATCCGTATAAAAAGGTACACACAAGCCAAGCGAAAAATAAACTAACACAACCAGATTTGGCAGCATCAATACACTCTGTGCCACAACCCATCCATCAGTGCCTGATCCGGGTTCGAAGGTCAGACCTCAATGGAGGGCAACACAAGCTCCCAAGCACTCCCTCCCAAGCACTCCCTCCCAAGCACTCCCTCCCAAGCACTCCCTCCCAAGCCCTCCCTCCCAAGCACTCCCTCCCAAGCACTCCCTCCCAGCACTCCCTCCCAGCACTCCCTCCCAGCACTCCCTCCCAGCACTCCCTCCCAGCACTCCCTCCCAGCACAAGCTCTCAGCACTCCCTCCCAGCACAAGCTATCAGCACTCCCTGTCAGCACTCCCTCCCAGCACTCCCTCCCAGCACTCCCTCCCAAGCACTCCCTCCCAGCACTCCCTCCCAGCACTCCCTCCCAGCACTCCCTCCCAGCAAAAGCTCTCAGCACTCCCTCCCAGCACAAGCTCTCAGCACAAGCTATCAGCACTCCCTAACAGCACTCCCTCCCAGCACTCCCTCCCAGCACTCCCTCCCAGCACAAGCTCTCAGCACAAGCTATCAGCACAAGCTATCAGCACTCCCTGTCAGCACTCCCTGTCAGCACTCCCTCCCAGCACAAGCTCTCAGCACAAGCTCTCAGCACAAGCTCTCAGTACTTCCTCTCAGCACAAGCTCTCAGCACAAGCTATCAGCACTACCTGTCAGCACTACCTGTCAGCACAAGCTCTCAGCACAAGCTCTCAGCACTCCCTCTCAGCACAAGCTCAAAGCACAAGCTCTCAGCACAAGCTCTCAGCACAAGCTCTCAGCACAAGCTCTCAGTACTTCCTCTCACCACTTCCTCTCAGCACAAGCTATCAGCACTCCCTGTCAGCACAAGCTCTCAGCAAGCGCTCTCGTGATGTTCCCCGAACTGGAGCTGGACCAAACTCCTTGCGGCCATCCCACCACCGTCATCACGTTCGTCTTTGCCACTATCCAATCGTATTCAAACAAATTCTCCCCATGCCAGCCACTCACCTCAGGGTGTCTGTCGAGGTCGCTGAGCGTGAGGCCATGCTCCAGGATGAGCTGTCGTGCCTGCGGAAACGATAACACGCCGACTGAATCTTGCCCACCACGGCACACGTTTCCCAGTGCCTGGATGGTTACCAGGGCGGAGGATTTTCATTGATATTACACTGCTCTAACGTATTGGGATGAACATGTAATATATATTGCCTTGGTGAGCCTAGGCAATGAATAACTGGCTTTTGTGTATGGCTATTGCCTAAAGCATCTAGGTGAACTAATTGTACAAGTCACTCATTAACGTTTCACTTTGCTTGGTATGCATAGGACATACCTATCCAGGGGGCCTGGCTAGGGCGCTGTCGACACCTGGGAAGAACATTCGAAACAGCCCACATTGATGGCCTAGCGACTACTATATGGGCAGTGCCAAGATATTGGACTATATTTGAGACATTTTAAATATGCGGGTAATAATTTGTATAACCATGAAGTGACGTATTACTCAGTCATAGTGTCAATCAATTATGGCTGTAACAATTTAATGAAGAAATGTTTGTAAAATACAACCGTGCCGTAAATACTCGTACAAGCCGACTTGTTTCTATCCGCGCTGGGATGGTGTTGGCACATTCAGTTCCATGCAGAGCCATTTCACGTACTCCATAAATAAGCCACATCTTCCAAAATCATAACCTTCAATATAATACCCCATACATATTATTAGCATGAATTTGACAGTGAGGTTACCCAATTTGTGGAACTGCCTCTATTGGTTTTGGAACCCTACCATGAAGCTAACGTTGTGCAACAGAACCCAGCTGGCAGGCTGCTCTTCCACTGGCACAGCACCATCTCCAATGCTATCGTGTCCATGCCTGTTAAAGCCCACGTACTGTACCTGGAAGGATGTAGGGACGCATATGATTTTCAAATTTTCACTCTTCACCTTTTCCGCTGCAGAAAAAGCAATGCCATTAAAGCAAGCAATTGTAGGTTGCCAATTCATGGGTCCGATGCTGACGAGTTCAGTGTTTCACAGCACCATAACATGAGCTGAATGTGCAAGACCTGAAAACACCTTGATCGCGACGGCAAGTCGCGTTGATAACCAATGGTTAAGTGAGTGGTGGCCAGAGTTTCCCCAGTGGCTTGGAGGTCTGACAGCTGAGGTGGCATCCCTGAGACTGGTTACTTAATGCAGTGTTTATTTAGCGAATGCTTTTACGCGTAACTTTTATACATTTAAAAGTACCAGCTACACCAGAAAACTAACTAATTTAATGCATATGTATGTCAATGTTATACGAGTGGACGTCAGCCCACGTAGCCACACAACCATGTGACAGCCTCCTCCTCCAGCACGCTGACCGAATCATGATCCTGGCCAACACGTGACTACAGTTGCTTAATGCAGTGAGTTGATGGTCTTAGCTCTGTCAGCAAATGACTGCATATAAATACCATCACATTAAAATGAATTCTTTACTTAATGAGGATAACTTCCAGCTATGTAAAAGTAAAAAAACATCGGTTTGGGTGCCAATTCATGAACATTCGTCTGTGGCAAATTGTGGCCTCTACCGTGTGTGAACCAGAGGTCACTTGAAGGGAACTCGGGAGGTAGCTGTGATATCAGCTTCTGTAGCCCATTCTCAAACACGAACCATGACACCAGCTCTGTGGGCGACCCAAGCGCACGCTTGGTCTCATCACGCCGAAAGCATCACCTGGGTAAAACCAGGGGATGAGACTTTTTAAAACAGCGAAAAAAGGTGTGCAGTTGCCACTGGTGATGGTGTAGAGCCGAGGCTGCCTCACACAGTCTCTCCACGGCGAACACCACGGTGGAACCGCTCCCAATTCCAACCACATGTCCACCCTGCAGGGTGCCAGGAGACACGGGCACACAGAGAGGAGACACGGGGGGACAATGGAAGGCAAGTGACAGAGAGGGGGAACAAGAGGGACACCGGGTCAGACAGTCCCAGGCATTGGACTGAACCTGGCAGTGTCGCACAGCGGACCGAGTGCCGAATCTGTCGGTTCAGGTTAAGGCCCAGTTGAGCCGGGTTATGGGTTCAGGTTAGCTAATGTATCGGCTATGTCAGGGGTCGGCAACCTGCAGCTCTGGTGCCGCTTGTGTCTCTTTCCGGACTGCTCCGTGACGTAATGTATGTAGTCACATGCATCGCCGCTCTTGAAATATTGAATTCTGTACCGAATTCAGAAAAATAAAATTTTGTTTTATTGGTTGCCGACCCCTGGGCTATATGTGGAACAGCACTGGCTACGGGGCTGTCAGGTGGTGAGTCGGGGGTTAGATCAGGGTCAGTGGTGTGGCGGGCTCTAGAGCGGAGGAGTTGAGGGGGGTGGGGTGCAGGAATCACAAGGGAATCAGAATCTTTATTTAGACTGGAGGAATCCGATAAGCTATGAAGCTGTATGGGGCAAGTCAGCAAGTTACAATAAACAACGCAGAAAACGATCGGAGTGCAAAATAGAGAAAAGGGCAAGTCACCAAATATGAATGAATAAAAAAATAATGTATTATATTTATCAAGCTTGGGCATGGCAGCAAAACAACAAAACAGTCCCAGACCACACCAAGATAACACCACACAGTAATCCCTCAGTGAAAGGGATGGTGGAGGGGATCCTGTTTGGGTGAGGAGCGACATGAGCGGGAGGTAAATGGACGAGGCTAGTAGGGGGAAAGTTATGTGAGGTTAGTAGTACAGGTGGTATGAGAGCGAGGTGATGAGGCGAGCGGTTGAGGTGTCATTTAAGAGTGGTGAGAGTGGGGTGAGTTGAGAGTGGGGTGAGTTGAGAGTGGGGTGAGTTGAGAGTGGGGTGAGATGAGAGGGGGCGAGTTGAGAGTGGGGTGAGTTGAGACGGGGTGAGTTGAGAGTGGGGTGAGTTGAGAGGGGGTGAGTTGAGAGGGGGTGAGTTGAGAGTGGGGTGAGTTGAGAGTGGGGTGAGATGAGAGTGGGGTAAGTTGAGAGGGGGTGAGTTGAGAGTGGGGTGAGTTGAGAGGGGGTGAGTTGAGAGGGGGGTGAGATGAGAGTGAGGTGAGTTGAGAGTGGGATGAGATGAGAGGGGGTGAGATGAGAGGGGGTGAGTTGAGAGTGGGGTGAGTTGAGAGTGGGGTGAGTTGAGAGTGGGGTGAGTTGAGAGGGGGATGAGTTGAGAGGGGGGTGAGTTGAGAGTGGGGGGAGTTGAGAGTGGGGCGAGTTGAGAGTGGGGTGAGATGAGAGGGGGTGAGATGAGAGGGGGTGAGATGAGAGGGGGTGAGTTGAGAGTGGGTGAGTTGAGAGTGGGGTGAGTTGAGAGGGGGATGAGTTGAGAGGGGGGTGAGTTGAGAGTGGGGCGAGTTGAGAGTGGGGTGAAATGAGAGTGTGGTGAGATGAGAGGGGGTGAGATGAGAGGGGGTGAGTTGAGAGTGGGTGAGTTGAGAGTGGGGTGAGTTGAGTGGGGTGAGTTGAGTGGGGTGAGTTGAGAGGGGGGGGAGATGAGAGGGGGGGAGTTGAGAGTGGGGTGAGTTGAGAGTGGGTGAGTTGAGAGTGGGGTGAGTTGAGAGTGGGGTGAGTTGAGAGGGGGGTGAGTTGAGAGTGGGGTGAGTTGAGAGGGGGGTGAGTTGAGAATGGGGTGAGTTGAGAGTGGGGTGAGTTGAGAGTGGGGTGAGTTGAGAGGGGGATGAGTTGAGAGGGGGGTGAGTTGAGAGTGGGGTGAGTTGAGAGTGGGGCGAGTTGAGAGTGGGGTGAGATGAGAGGGGGTGAGATGAGAGGGGGTGAGATGAGAGGGGGTGAGTTGAGAGTGGGTGAGTTGAGAGTGGGGTGAGATGAGAGTGGGTGAGTTGAGAGTGGGGTGTGTTGAGAGTGGGTGTGTTGAGAGTGGGGTGAGTTGAGAGTGGGTGAGTTGAGAGTGGGGTGAATTGAGGGTGGGGTGAGATGAGAGTGAGGTGACTGGTTGACGTGCGAGTTGAGTGGGTGAGTGAGGCGAGTGGGGTGAGTGCATGAAGTTAGTGATTGACCTGCATTGAGTGGCTGGGGGGAGAGTAGGGCGAGTGGCTGGGGGGAGAGTAGGGCGAGTGATTGACGCGCGAGTCGAGTGGGTGAGGGGTGAGCGTGGGTGAGGTGACTGGTGAACGTGCGAGTTCAGTGGCTGAGTTGGGTGAGGGGAGGGTGACTGGTGAGCGTGTGAGTTGAGTGGGTTAGGTGAGTGACTGACGCGCGAGTCGAGTGGGTGGTGAGTGTGTCTGTGTGAGGAGCCGCTCACCCGCACGTGTTGCTCCACCGCGGCCCGCGCCGCGCTCCGCTTCGCCGCCTCCTCCGCCATGCGCGCTCCGATCCGCGCCGCTCCGCTCAGCGCGCGCTGCATGCCGGCCCCCGAGCGCTCCTATTGGCCGCGACGCCGCCACGTGGGGAGCGCCGAGGGCGGGACCGTGGGCGGGGTGAGGGGGCGTGTCCTCACGCGGAAAGCGCGGGAACTCGGCCCCGTGCACGTGCACGAGAGAATGAGAATTCTAGATTTGAAGCTTTCGTGACTGCAAGGTTCCATACTCTTTGGTTCTATTCGGTTATTTTATTTTTACCTACGTGACTTTACCGAATAGAACCAAAGAATATAGAATGATAATGTTTATTTCGACTGCATCAGGAATCCGAAGATCTTTCAAGCTCTTTTTCACAGACGCCCAGTAGGGGCGGGTCAGAAACTTTACAGCAACAAATGATACCAAAGCACGATAGCAGTGCAAAGTATAGGAAAGGTAAACACATCGGTAAAAATACACAGATTAAACCAATCTCTTTTATTGTGTGAGGGTTAGCATGCAAAGCCCATTGAGCTATTAACTTATTTTCAGAATGAGAAATTGCCTGTGTTGGCGGCGATCGTCCCGGCCTTAATAGGTGCTCGCAAACAACAATTGGTAAAAGCCAAATCCGGGGTACTCGGCGGGATCTTTGTGTGTAGAGCACTGCGCTACGAACCCAGCTGCTGACCCGGGTATCCGAACCAGTACCTTGTGCCGGGCTTGTAACTGGCCGTGTCTCGCTCCCCCCATTATGTTCAGGACTGTTAACAGGAGCTCACTTAAAACCGTGCACGTCTCAATGGAGATCCGTTTGGAGTACACGTGCCGTACTGTGTGTCGACAAGCGGAGGCGGTAGTAATAAGTGTTGTATCTCTACCCCATCGACAAAGATCCCCCATATAGCCTAAAACGATTGTTGGGGCAAATGCAGTTAGCGAGCACCTATGAAGGCCGGCACGCCACACGAGGGGGTGGGTGGCCAGCACCACGCCCGACCGCCTCTGTCTCCCCACTGGCGATGATTTTACACACTGCACCAGGTGCTCATTTGAGGCTGAGTCGACCTGCGGGAGGCCCAGGAACCGGTTCAGATAATCGCCACCGGTGTTGGCCGTGAGCGGGAAACGAACTCGGGTTCGCCGGGTTCGTAGCGCAGTGCGCTAACCGCTGCGCCACCGCTCCCCATATCTCTGTGCCGTGGCTTGTCTCGCAAACACCGCCTTGCCTAGGTGGTGCCGCGGGTTGCACCAATCAAGGTATCTGCCTCCGCACCTCCGACCAGCACGGTTGGCTACGTACGGTGCGAAAGAAGTCTAACGTACATTCATAGACGAATAATTACATTTGCTCTTTGCTTAAGCGTTGTGCTCGTTTATTTTGTTACATATTTAGTCATTTTGGTGACCCAAGTCAAGGACATTTTGTTTACGTACGTGGCGTCTTCCTGGCACAAATCTGCCACTGAAAGCGCCATCACTACCTCGTGGTTTCTCTAGTTCTCGCGTGGATCGACGACTTGGACTCGAACCGTAGCGACCAACTCGTGCAGTGCAGAATGACCGCGCTCTCTACCGAGGGAGGTGCGCAAGCCCCTGGCTGCAGGTGGCGCTATGGGCTCGCAATGCCTCCAAGTCATCCCCGACTAAGGTGGCTCACAATAAGCATGCCTCCTTCATTCCCACAGCTGTTATCTCGAGAGTAATTTCCATCAAAGTGTCGCTTGCACTCGTGGTTCTCGAATTTTTGTTGGCTACTGTACCCTTTGTTGGATTTAGTTCCAACAGAGTACCCCGCATGGCCTGACCCAACATGGTTCTGAGAAATAAAAGCATGAATAATGAACGTCAAAATGTTAACCAATTGTCCGTTTTGTGAGGTATCCTAACTGGCCAGTAGCTACAAGCGAATACAAAACAAAGCCAATGGACACTCTGCACGCGTAGTTTTTTTTAATATTGACAGCTTCAAAAAATGATTATTGACCAATGACTCCCCTGGACGTACCCGTTCCCCTGGGACATTTTCACGTATCCCCAGGGGTCAGCATGTAACCCTCGGTTGAGTACCGCTGGCTGACACCACCCACCAGCCACACAGCCTTCTGGGGGTGTATCCGTGACAGCTTTGGGTCGTATGGTTAAGCCATGTTTCTTGCGGAAGTGCGGAGTTGGCCTGATAACTTGAATCTAAATTGTCTTATGGTTTTGATTTAAAGCTTTCGTGACTGCAGTAATTCATATTCGTAGTTTTTTCGGTAAAGTCACGTTGAAGAGAAACAACAAAATAATAAAATATATATAAAACAATAAAAAAATTCTCACGACGTTTCGACCATAACTCCCATCTTCAGGTGAAGATGACCGTTTGAGTTATGGTCGAAACGTCGTGAGAATGTTTTTTATTGTTTTATATATATTTTATTATTTTGTTGTTTCTCTTCAACGTGACTTTACCGAAAAAACTAAGAATATGTCTTATGGTTGTTATTGTTTGACTTGCATCACACTGGGATTTTTGCACACAGCGTTGTAAAACGGTGGTTTTTTGTGTGGAAGATTTGCTGGTTTATCCAGGATGTTTCTGTTGCGCGTTGTCGTCGCTTTAAGATGTTTCTTGTTCATATTTTGTTTGTTGCGGTTGCACCCGACTTAAGAGCCGCATGGCTCACAGGGCTATACCTAATCAATTAAACTTGAAACTTGATACAAGCAAATTCGACCGGTCTCGCCATTCAATGTCTCATCACCACTGAGGCCTGCTTGAACCAATGCTGGTGAACTGCCAGATGTTTATAGGAAAGTACTCTCGCGAAAAACTTTTTTTTAACCCACAGCGGAACACCAGGATAATTGGCGGCGCCATCGAGTGTGCAGGCGGTGCAACTGCCATGGGACACTCGGGGCCGGAGTGGCTCAAGGTGTCGGGATATTTGGCTGTATTCGAGTATTTTACCACTATAAATGTCCACACGATAAGCCACTTGGCTGAGCTATCATTTGTGGCCAGTTCGCTTCTGTAGCTCAGCGGGGCCTTAACCTGGCAATCACGCCCTGATTATATTGTCAACGAACGTCGTGATTTATGACATGACGCACGCGGACGGCACAACTGCAATATAAATAGCATCGTTGCAGAGAAGGAAGGCGGGCCGTGTGTGCGTGTGCGCGTGTTGGACTTCAGTTGGCAGCAGCAGCCGCAGCAGCAGAAGCCGACGCGAGGCGCAGCCGATGGAGGCGCGGGGCGCTCACGGCAGAGGGCGCTCGCCGACCGGGGTCGGGGGGAGGCGGTCGCGGTCACCGATGGGGGAGGGGGGCAGTGCTTCGTAACGGAACGTCGCTCACCTTGAGCCGCGTGAGCGCGTGAGAGAATGTTTGAGAGAGAGAGAGAAGGAGTCGGCCAGAGCGAAGTAAGCTCGAGCGTGCAAAGAGTTGTCGCGCACGCAGCGAATCGACGGCGTGCGCGCGCGCGTGTGCGCGTGTGTCTCTGCGTGCGTTAAGAGCTGGCGAGTTGAGTGCAGCGAGAGAGCGTGCGAGCCTTGCGGCGTCGCTGTTGTGGTGCCGGACGCTGATGAGAGGGGGGAACCTCCGCTCTCTTCCCTGTCAGGTACGAGCCGTTGCGGACAAGCCCTACTACAGATGAACACCCCCCCCATCCCACCGCCCGTGTAGCGTCGCGTTTAGCCGTGCGCGCGCGTTGTACTGCTCTGCGTGTCCACAGAGCTCGACGCTTGATTCGCGTGGTGATGGAGAAAGTCTCTCAACGTACGACTTGTACTTTTATTTTGGTGCCAACGCGTCGCCCGCTCCCATCACCGGCACTGGGGAGTGGTGCGTCGCACGGAGGGGAAGCGTTTGGCACGTGCGCGCGCAACAAGCCGCTTTGGGCCCTACGTGCGAACGCACGCAGCCAGTATAGGGCTGGCTGGGGATATGAGGAGTGGTGAGCAGTGTAAGCCGCGGTATAGATTGCCATTGTTACAGACTGTTAAGTGCCTTGATAAGCCGCGCACGGCAATGGAAGGTCACGCGCATTCACCGTTCGTGTCGGTGGTCGTACACGGCGCGGCGAGATGAATCCTGCATCGTGGCCGTAGAACGCGGGTGTCAATCACTCGACAGCGATCCCCGTGAATGCTCTTCGCGCCTCGGACCTCGTGCGCACCCTCGTCAACACCAGCAGCCTCTGGCCCAGGGGTCGTCAATCTTTCAAATGCGAAGGGCCATTGTTGTTGTTTTATTTGTCTTTGAGCGAAACAATTGCAAGAGCCGCATCGCACGCAGAGCTACTTGCACACAAACACAGCAGCAGCAAGCAGGTATACAGCAGACGACAACAACAACAACAACAACACACATTGTGACCTAAATAAACAAAATATGTGATGCAATAAACTGAGTATTTAGACTTTCCCCCACCCTAGCTATTCTTTAACAATACAGTTTGACTGTTGTACATTTTGTTGTCACCTAGACATTCCATAGCGACCCATTTCCTGTCACATTTAATCAATTATCAGTACGTGAAATTGTGTTAAAGATTTAAGCGCGTTTTTTTTTTAAACCCGCTGCCCGCAAGACGGCAGCCAAAGAACCGCAAGGGGGCTGCCAAAGAGCCCCAAGGGGGGCAGCCAAAGAGCCTCAAGGGGGCAGCCAAAGAGCCCTAAGGGGGCAGCCAAAGAGCCCCAAGGGGGCAGACAAAGAGCCCCATGGGGGCAGCCAAAGAGCCCTAAGGGGGCAGCCAAAGAGCCCCAAGGGGGCAGACAAAGAGCCTCAAGGGGGCAGACAAAGAGCCCTAAGGGGGCAGCCAAAGAGCCCCACGGGGGCAGCCAAAGAGCCCCATGGGGGCAGCCAAAGAGCCCCAAGGGGGCAGCCAAAGAGCCCCACGGGGGCAGCCAAAGAGCCCCACGGGGGCAGCCAAAGAGCCCCATGGGGGCAGCCAAAGAGCCCCACGGGGGCAGCCAAAGAGCCTCAAGGGGGCAGCCAAAGAGCCTCAAGGGGGCAGCCAAAGAGCCTCAAGGGGGCAGCCAAAGAGCCCCACGGGGGCAGCCAAAGAGCCCCAAGGGGGCAGCCAAAGAGCCCCAAGGGGGCAGCCAAAGAGCCCCAAG